AGCTTGCCATGTGACACCATGGAGCAGCAGCTGACCTACTAAAGAGGACCAAGACTCAACCTGCCCCCTTAGCTTTGATTCCACCGGCACACAAGCCGCCATTGCAGGCCACCACAGCACTGGAGTAGCCTCCCGCAGCGCTCCAGCCCTCACGAAGACCCGCTTGCATCCCAATGAGGCACCTATTTCGTTGCCAGCAGAGTGTTCATTTTCCTGACATATTTACGAGTCCTCTGTCTCATTAATCAGCTAAGTATTCATAAGATGTCCCTTTCATGCTAGGATAGCTAAGGGCAAATGCCTTTATTTATCCATTCTTTACTGAGGAATTTCTCTCCAGAGTCAGCTGGAGGAAAGGTTTTCACCTTTTAAATTCTTAATAGAGTTTTCTCAGTAATATGTAATTTAGGAGATTAGATGAGGCTGGGGACTTAGGGGCACAGATTAGAGTCACCCCCCTTGAAGTTGAGGGGCTCCTCAGGGCATTGGACATTACAAAGGCGCCAGGCCCTGACGGGTTACACCCGAGAGTACTTAGAGAGTTGGCAGGGGTTCTCTCACACCTGCTGGCCTCCATTTTTGAGACCTCATGGAGAATGGGTGAAGTTCCAGAGGAATGGAGGGTGGCATCAGTGGTCCCAATTTTCAAAAAGGGTAGTAGAAGGGACATGGGGAATTATAGACTAGTTAGTCTTACGTCCATTGTAGGAAAAGCAATGGAAAGGCTCATAATAGAGAGAGATCTAGTGATGCTAGATAGGAAGGGAGGCTGACAGCCACACAACACGGCTTCCACAAAAACAGGTCCTTCCAGACAAACCTTGTGGAATTCTATGACAAGGTTTTGAGATGGCTAGATGGAGGGGATGCAGTGGATGTGGTATACCTGGATTTCAGCAAGGCCTTTGACAAAGTGCCCCATGATATCCTGGTGGAGAAACTGAGGAGTTTTGGGATTCACCAAAGCACTGTCCGGTGGATTAGGGCATGGTTGACTGACTGAAAGCAGAAGGTAACCATTAGTGGGGAATCATCGGGATGGTGGCCAGTGACAAGCGGGGTCCCCCAGGTCTCTGTCCTGGGGCTGATCCTTTTTAATCTTTTCATTAACGACATGGAAGAAGGGGTGAACAGTCTGCTGATCAAATTCTCAGATAACACTAAAACTGGAGCAGTGGCCGCAACTGAGGAGCAGTTACTCCAGATCCAAAAGGATCTGGACAGACTATGGAAGTGGGCAGGAGACAACGGGATGGCATTCAATGTGGACAAGTGCAAGGTCTTGCACTTGGGGCATAGGAATAGCTGTCACAAGTACAGGTTAGGTGACAAGTGGCTGGAGAGCAGCACTTGTGAAAGGGACCTCGGGGTGCTGGTTGACTGCAGGCTAAACATGAGTCAGCAGTGTGATTCAGTGGTCAAGAGGGCGAATGCCACCCTTGGTTGCATAGCCAGAAGTGTGGCTTCTAGATCGAGAGAGGTATTATTGCCACTCTATATGACTCTGGTGCACCTGCAACTGGAGTATTGTGCTCAGTTTTGGGCCCCTCATTACAGAAAGGATATAGCCAGTTTGGAGTCAGTGCAGTGTAGGGCCACTAGGTTGGTGGCCGGTTTGTAGGGGATGGGGTATGAGGCGAGATTGAGGGAACTGGGTCTCTTCAGCCTGGAGAAGAGGAGACTCAGAGGGGATATGTTGGCGACATGCAGGTATGTGAGGGGATGTCACATGGAGATGGGTAGAGACCTGTTCTCCCCTGCAGAGGAAGGCAGGACGTGCTCCAATGGAGCAAAGCTCAGGGAGCCAAGGTTCCCTTTGGATGCCAGGAAGCACTTCCTGACAGTCAGGACCCCGAGGGTATGGAATGGGCTTCCACGGGAGGTCGTTGAGGCCCCATCGGTGAGGGTGTTCAAGGATAGGCTGGACGGGCACATGGTGGGCATGTCGTGAGTGGAGCCGGCTGGTGCCAGAGGTCAGACTAGAGGGCCTGGAAGGCCCCTTCGGACTCCCTCTGTTTCTATGTTTCTATATTTCTATGTCTTTTATATTTCAGAAACAGCCAACTTTCCTCTTCATGGAGGATGCCGTTGCATTCTTGCCCTTTATCGCCATGACAAGATAACATTTGGCTCCTCACGCAAGGTGCTCTTTTCTTTTCACAGCCCACATCGTCCTCACCATGGCACATCTTCTTCCAGCTGAATAGCAGCCTCTCATGGCAACACGTGGAGGGAGAGGGTCCTTGCAGTGGGGAGGACAAGGAGGAGGAAACCCAGCCTCGGAGATCTTCCTCTGTAATTTAGAAGGATGCATGCATTGACTTCCTTGACTGTAATTAACCTCCATGCAAGAGGCCAGAACACGTTCCCCTCTTCAAGTGCCCCCATTCTTTCACTTATTTGTATAGAATTCATTGTGCTAAAAGTGTAAGGTAATGCTAGCTAATTTTTGCCCTTCACACAATGCATCAACTATTTGTCTCCTGCCAGCTGATTGTTACGGCTCTGCCAGAGTGAATAGTTTGATGTCCTTCCACTTACACACCTAGCGCTGGCTGAAGGCCTTTCTAAATGTGTGGCCCTCTCTCCTGACCCACATACCCTCCTCCATTCTTCTTCTATGATGCCAGATGAAAACAGATGCATGATGCCACTCCAGTGCTCCCAGTTTTTCCTAGTTCTGTTCCCTGGGCAGCTGCCTGAAAGCAGTAAGGAAATGCTGGGCACAAGGATGCTTTTCCATGCATTGGCTTAATAACTGCTGTGAGCCACCCAGAGATCTTTGGCTACTGGGCTGTATATTGGGTCATTTATAAATACATTCCAATAAATATACAAAATGTTACTGGGAGATAGGAGGAGCAGATGTGGATTCAGGAAGCAACCATGTCAGGTAAGCTCTGTGATGTTTGACTCACAGATCAAGAGTCGCTCTTGCCCCCATCTTATCTCAAACTGTGGGTGTCTGAAAGAATAAAACTGCCTTGCATCTGTGCATTTAGTTTGCTTTGGGGGTATTATGGGATAAAATGTGTGTGAGCATGTGTGCGTGCGTGTACGTGCAGACGTGTGCATGTGCGTGTGCATGTATTGATTGCTTTCAACTAAAAGGACAAAAGTTTAGTTAGAAAATATAGGAATCTGGATGTTAGCCCAGGAAGCCAAAGATGAGCAAGCAGCTCCAGTCAATCGGGACTAGATACAGGAGCCAGGGTGTCTGGAGGAGGAAGAGAAGGACTTTGTGTGAGGTTGAGCAGAAGGTCAGAGGAAGAGCTTAGAAAAGGGATTTCAGGGGGAAAGTGAACAAGAAAGGACTCTCTTGATTGGTTGAAGTTGGGAGGGAAATAATTAATTTAAAGATTAAAAGCTTAAGGCACAGACAGGGAAAGACAAAGAAGAGCTCAAGAACAGAAGCAGCCAAAGCTGTTACAGCTCAAGGACTGAAAGATAGCTGAACTTGTGGAAGCCAGATATTGCCCGAATAAGAAGGGGCCAGGATAAAAGCGGAGCACAGCCTGCATTTATCCCTGCTTGTTTTATCACCATAGTGCTCATCTGATTTGCTGCGTGTTGTGTGCATATCCATTCAGTTCTAAATGATATTGGAGATAGTCCACTACCCAAAGCAGATACCTTAGAGGCCGAAGGCTGGTTTGATGAAGGCAGCTGCAGAAAATGGCAGCCAAAAGGGCCACAAGAAAAGAGGGTGAGAAGGAAAGGGGCACACAATTTTAGCTCTCTCGCCTTCCCTTCACAGCGCATGGCATTGCTGGTCCATGATACGAGACTGAATGAAATGTGTCAGTACCAGGAAGGAATAAGGTAGGCCTAGTTCAGCCTTCCTCAACGTGATGCATCCCGGATGTTCTGTATTATGACACCCACAATCCCCGCCCATTGGCCACACTGTCTGCTTCCAATGGGAATTCAAAACATCTGCATGTGAGGGAGGACTGGTCTGGATTAAAGCAGCTCCAACCCATGAGCTGGGCACCATTTGAAAAAGGTACTAGCTGCTCCTTCTTCCCAACAGTGGAGCCCATGTAGCTTCAGTTCCAACATCTGTTCCAGGGCCAGTAGAAGGAGGGGAGCCACTGAGTCCCAGCACTGAGTCCCAGGACCTTCCAGCATGGCACGGCCATCCTGCTATTCTGTGCCCTGGATCGTTTATTTGCCAGCATCGTGGAGGTGCCAGCATCTTCTCCCACCATGTTTCCCAGGAATGTGTCAATGGCAACCACACCATGAGTCCTTCTCTCTCAGTGCTGCCACCAGAGGACAGTCCAGGACTAAGACGTCTGGCTGCCCAAGCCATCATCCCTCTGCAGTGAGTCCTTTTCGTTGCCATTTGCTTCCTAGTGTCAAAAATGTAAGTTGGCAGCGTAATTAAAACAAATGAACAAAAACTACTTTGGAAGACCACTGAGGAGTGAAATAACAGGAGACGATCAAATGAGGCAGCCCGCAACAACGTAATAACAGGTGAAACGTCTTTGTAGCACCTTTAAAAATATTTACAGCAACATTTCAGCTCTGCAACTGAGCTTCAAGAGCTTTGCTCCGGTGTGTGGCTGCTCGTCTTCTGGATTTACTGCCATTTACCTGAAGACTGGAGTGGACTGAAAAAAAATCAGGGCAGCCTGTCTCTCTCCTCTGCCACCTGTACAGAGATCAGCATTGCCATGCTGCTTCTTTGAAGACAGTGGGAGTCTCACTTTTTAATCTACACATACGTCAACAGTCATAACTCACTGGGTGGCAAGGAGAGAGGCAAGAACCAAAAACTAAAATCAGATTACATCTCTATATTTGCAACATAACACAAGCAGAGAGCAGTCTTCGTGACCCAGGTGTGCAGTGCTCACTTTCAGTCAGCCAAAAAAGATGCTACTAAATATAGATCTTAAATATGAATGCAGATGGTTCAAGGTAGGAATGCAAGGTTAGATTGATCTTGAAAGGATGGCCAGTTACCATGTTGTGTGGGCCACAGGAAAATACATTGCAGTCCCCATCCCATCTGGTGTAGAATGGAGGGTGGATGCCAAAACAGGACCTTTCCAGTTGTGGCACCCAAGTTCAGGGAGGGCCTTTCAAGAGAGGTCTGCCTGTCTGCAGCACTGCCTGTTTTTATTCGAGCTGCAAAGGCAATTTTTTCCAATGAGCTTTCTCAAAATCATGCATTCATTTATTTATTGCATCTCTATACTGCCCAATAAGACAGAATTCTCTGGCTAGATTGCAAAAGACGGAAATTTTGAAAATGCAAGATAAAAATAACAAAAAAGCATTTAAGTACACAAAACTTAAAACAATCAACAATAAAAACCCCAAGACCAAATAACAATCCCAATTTGACCAATTATCACATGCCATGGAATACCTGGACATTAGAGGGAGGTCTTAACCCAAACCCAAATGTATGTCAATGAGGGTTCCAGGGGGGTCTCACAGAGGAGAGCATTCTAATTTGGATGGAGGCACCATCCCTTGTTGCCATCCTTCAAACCTCCCTCCAAGGAGGCATCTGGAAGAGGGCCTCAGGCAATAATTATTGCCCACTGGGGGGAAGGCTGAGTCAGATTTTTAGGTCCCAAGCTCTGTAAGGCCTATAGATTGATAGCAGCACCTTGAACTGGGTTTGGAAACATTCAGGCAGGCAGAACTAGTGGGCCAGAACAGATGCAGGATGTTCAGTCCCTCAGATCCCTGCTGTAATTCTTGCTGCAATGTTTTGCTCGAAGCAGCCCCCTCTGGGCCATTTTCAAGCACAGGCCCATACAGAACACAACCACCATTTTAATTCTGTCTTATTTGCTTCTCTTTGCTTCTCTTCTGCTGTCTCAGGAAGTTGCTGGTTTCCAGTTGTTTTGGAGCTGATCCTTTTGCTGGTATTGTTAAGTGGACTTATCCTCTGCCATTGTAATCTGCCTGGAAAATTTCTACAGTAGAAAAATAAAGTTTAACAAATAATAATGTCAGATCATTAGGTGGAAATGACACATTATAAACAGTTCTGCAATCTGTTCCTTCCAGATTTCTCTTAACATCCAAAACATCCTGGGGAAGGCCAAATGTGAGTCAAAAAAAAAAAAAAAAAAGGACAGGTGGAGAAAGTCATCATGGCCCTTTTTTCTTTCGTCATGGTTTTGACAGGGTTTGTCATGTCCTACGGGGACTCTGATTCCAACTACAGCAGGGCTGATTTTATGCCTTATAACCAATTAAGTTCATGATAATATATCTGTACCTCCCAGGAAGTGCAGTGGTAAGAGGTTTGGAGAGGTGGATCTCAAAGGGTGGGGACAGATTCAGAAATGGTCCCCAACTGCCTTGGACCTAAAAAGAAGATCATTTTATGGGATAGGGCTTTGCCTAAATGCAGGATGGACCCCTCCCAGCAAGGCATGGAGAGTGGGGCACAGGCAGAGGGAAACAAGAGGGGGATCTGGAGGGGAGGGTGGCAGGAGAGGAGGAAGGAGGTGAAGCAGTAAACCCTGCCCTGGCAGGGCTGGAAGGGGAGAGGAGAAGGATGAGGGCAGCTGGGGGTGGAAAGGGAAATGGCAGGTCCCCCCAGCTCAGGCGGTGGGAGGCCTGCAACAGCGCTGAACACAGCAAGCCTGTGTGTCTTGCTCAGCCATGCTCTGAGGCCCTGGACCTTCTCTGGGGTGCTTTCTTCTCAAAAGAGACACGGCCTGGGCAGCTCTTCAGTTAGCTGAGGCCTTCCGTAGGAGCCGGGCTTCTGTACGGTAGGACACGAGGCTGCTCCGGGGTGCTGGCTGCTGCCCAGAAAACCTGGTGTGGGGTCAGCAGATTTGGGAGTATGACACATTAAGCCATGCCTCTCCATCTATGCACAACCTACATGTTTGTAAGTGAGCACAAATATTATGAAATGCTATAAATTCCTGGGACAACATTCCAAGGAAGACCAAAGACAGGAAGACAATCTGCCTCTGAAACTTCTCACCAAGTGGGAAAGTGAGGGGTATGTTGGAATATGTGTACATGGGCCAAACAATGATAACAAGGAGACTGAAGGCATGTTGCATACAAGGATCCAGACACACATAAGACTGTGCGCAATATCTGTCTGTCTGCCTCTTTATCATCCATCCATCCATCCATCCATGCATCCATCAAAGTGAGGGACAGGGAAAGGAAGATCCAAGGTGACCTTGGTGTAAAACATGAGGGAGCCCCTTGAAAGGGGCTTTTTATTGGAAATAATCAATGCAAATACATGAACTTCTACGTTTACTGGAATGCTCACCCATTTTTCTTCTTTTCTTCTTTTGGGACAGGTAACAACCCTAATAGTGCTTTATTCTTTTCAGCATCAGGCTAAACTGTTTTTATTTTCCCGATGTTTTAAGATTTGATTGTTTTAATTGGGGTTTTATTTCTCTCTGGAAATTTTATTAGGACACTGTATTTTATTTTATATATTGTCTTTTTGTTAAACTGTCCTGAGACCACAGTAAAGAATGGCCTAGAAATGTTTTCAATAAATAAATAGTAGAACACTGTCAGCATTTGCTGCTCTTGCATAGAAAATGGCCTTTGCAGATGAGAGGTCATCAACCACTTGGACTTCTGACTGGAAATGAGTTGCCTTTTCAAACTACTCACCCCACTGGGAAGAATAAGTGAAAGCCAAAGGGGGATCCGTTCCCCAAGCTACTTCTCAGGACTTCCTTGATCAGCACCACCATATCATCACAGCTCCTTCTCTGACATCGTGCCATTCCATGGAATATGATGCCACTGTGGTGAAAAATGCCGCCCAATTATCTGATTAGGCAAATGCAGCAAAGCAGGCAAAAGCGCAGAGTAAGGCTGGCTCAAAGAGTCAAATCATTTGTGTCATAATTACTTAATTCAGGAGGAAAATTCTGTGCTTAACCTTCCGTGATCCCCAGTGTTGCATTTCGGCTATTCATGGCAGTCAGAGTTTTTTCTTTTTTATTAGCAGGGAAGACATGGCACTTCAGGTTAGCCAGTAGAAAAGCTTTAAATAAAAAATGAACAGGAGTCAGGCTTTTTATTCATCATCAATGAACTAGATGCCAGGTTCCAACACCCGAGCCATCATCATAACGGCTGGTGTTATTGTCCATCTAGCCACATCCCGAGGCATTTGTCTTATTTTGCCATTGAGTAAAGGCTATCCCATTTCAAGCTGGTTCTCTCTCTCTCTCTCTCTCTCTCTCTCTCTCTCTCTCTCTCTCTCTCTCTCACTCACTCTCACTCTCTCTCTCTCTCTCATTGAACCAAAACCTACACCATGTTCGAAAGAGGTCAAAAGTTTCCCTCTCCGATCTTCCAAATGTGAGTACAGTAAGCCAAATAGACCTTCATGTTCCATAAATCACAGTGGTGTTCTTGGCCAACATTGTATAGAGGGAAAACTTATCGATTCAGAGCAGTGCTGTAATCTTTGAACAACCATGACAAGAACTCTGAAAATCCACACTTGGTTCCTTTCTTGGCCAAAGGTACTATGTTGATTTAGTTCATTAGCCTTCAGGGAACAATGAATGATTGTTGCCTGTGATAGCAATGGTGCCCAGAGATGGAGAAAGATTTGTCCAGAAAAGGAACTAAATCTGAATCTCTGTCTCTCTGACTCTCTCTCTCTCTCTCTCTGTCTTTACTTTTCAGGAGAGACAAAAGAGTTCCAGGAGAGCAGAAAGTTACAGACAGAGCAGAAATAAAGGGAAAGAGGAACACAGAAGAGAAAGTTAGGGGCATCGATGGCAGGGGGTGGCCGAGAAAGAAAGAGGATGCCTCTCTTTTCACTGCTGGTGCAGAGACACTGATGGCAGGGGGTGGCCAAGAAAGAAAGAGGATGGCTCTCCTTTCACTGCTAGTGCCCAGGCTTCAGCTTTCCCACGCATAGAACTTTCCATGGAATGTCAGGGAGCAGAATCCCCGCCAGCCATCCCCCTCCTGTGTCCACTACGCAGGTCCTCCTGCACTTGGTCATACAAGCCCCACACCCGGAGCCTGAAGAGGTACCATTGAGCCAAGGGCCTACCATCTCCGTGAGAATGAGGCCCATACAGTGACAACACTGCAATTTTAACTATTGCCAACCACCCCAAGGAATGCAAATGCATTAAAAGGGTGGGATATTGATGCTTCTATACAGACATAGAGAAAAATAAAGACTCCTCTTTCTCCAAGGCTCTTTGTGCAGCTTTGTTTGCTTTTGAACAGTATCTGTCACCTCTCGGAGAATTTGCAGTGCCGGTAACATCTGTGTTTATTTCCTCAACAAGCAAGCCCTTATGCTTATTATTGAGAAAAAATCAAGATGCTCATCAGTATGATGAGTCCGGGAGAGAGGGAGGGAGGGAGAGATGAAGGCTCCAATTCTTCTCCTTGGCAAAGGCACGCATCTCTCTTCCCCCCTCTCACCCACCCCCAGCAGAGGCCGCATTGTCCAGTGTCTGGGGCAGGGAAATGTTTGCGTGCTGGTCAGCAGACTGATCAAAACACTGTCAACAGTCTGCACAGTGTGGCCATCCTAAAATATTGTACTTTACTGAATGTGCCACAGTTACATAGCGACATATCTTTTGCATTTGGTTATTGTAGCTGCTGTTAGCAAGGGCTGGAGGGGCAGCAGCTGGAGATCGAGCCCTGCAGTGGCTAAGGGCAAACCTGGCAACATGGCCAAGCTGCTCCCTTGGGTTGTCCGCTTCCTGTCACAAACCCAGGCAGGCTGGAGTGGCTAAGGCCACTGCCAAAGGCCACCCATGACTCCCTCTTGCCTGCTGCAGAGACCAGGGAGTCCCCCAACCCCTCTCTGACCTGGCTGCCTGCTCCCAAAAGGTCCTCCGTGTATTTATTTAGTTTTTCTAACCCATCCCCCACTGACGTCTTGGGAAAACTTACAAGAGAAGGACAAATAAAGCAAAACAAGCTTTGGACTCTGGTGAAGAGTGGGTGTTCAGAGAACCCACGATGTTGACTGAAGTAAAAACGCATGAGATGCCACCATGCATGAGCCACTGAAGAATGGATAGCTGGTTAAAAAAAAAAGCCACTATCTTTTTCCTTATGCTAGCAATGTCCCACAAAGAAATAGATGAACCTGACCATATTTGATCAATATTTGACTTGTCAACTGAGCTAACCTTTTTGGACCAGATAAATGTCTGCCCACAAGTTTTGCCATCAACACAAGAGAGTTCCAGAACTTGGATTTTTGTTCCCCACCCCACAACACACCGAATAACAAGCAGCAGTTATTTACCTTTTTGTTTTTTAAAATTATATATCAATTAATTTGCATTCAGTGCTAATGAAAGAGAAAGGAACAGTGCTTACAACAACAACAAAAATACATGCATAGGCAATGATTATACTTATCACTCGTACACTGCATAAACAAAGACCAATTGTCTATGAATTTATGCCACTTGACATCCTTCAAAATTCTAATTTAACTTGTAGACCTCATCATTTCTGATACTTGCCCTATTATGGTTAAGCAAGTAATCCTGAACTTTTGCAACCAAGCCACATTTCCAATCAACAGCCACATTTATCTTTCCTGCAAATAACAAGTTATTAACAAATTCCATATCACTGTCCTCCACCTTCCCTTGTAAGTCATATAAAAGAACAGTAGACAGAATTTCATGCCCTGCAGAAACTTAAGTAACGGTGGATTTTCCCCTACTTTAATTATAGGGCAGAAACACCAGATACACATAAAATGTACAGTACAGTCCCCACCCCTCCAACAAGACAAATTATCCTGCTTATAAACCAGATGCACTTTTATAGATACTGCTGAAAGATCACTTCAGGAGAACTTTCCTTTAATTAAGTATATAGATACCATTTTGGAAAGGACAGTTTGTTCTTCCTACTACCACTTGTGTGGTGGGTGAGATTGCGTAAGCAAGGCTGCATGGCTGGCTGAGGAATGCTACAAGTTGTGGAACTGTTTCCTGTCTAAACATGTATAGGATCACACCCCAGTCATGCTTTCTCTGACAGGAGCAAACTTCCACCATGGACTTTCCAACTGAATGGCTGGGAAACCTGCTGCCCTGTCACTGTCATTGGATTCCAACTCTGTTGGCCAACGGTCCAACGATGCCTGGAAGTTCCACATTGCCTGCCATTTATCTTTGCCCAATCCTTTATTCCTGCCTGATGAATAAGTTCTTCAAAGAAAAATCTAGCTTTATAGTTCATGTCAACTGACATACAATTTCATATTGGTTTAGACAAATGTAAGACAGAAAGTATTGAATTTTAGGGAACCTGGTACTTTTATATGGCCCTCAGTTACAGTTTTAATCCTAAGCACACTATTTGGCTTCTGTATATGTACGGAGGGGACTACTAAACACAGTATAAGTAGAACTACCAGCTGCTACCTAAAAATTCCATTGAGCTCCTTGTTAATTACATTTTAGCATGGTTAATATGTAAGTGCTTCTGAACAGTTGAATATCTTCTCCTCAGGACCACACAACTGAAAACAAAAACATAAACCTTTTTTATTTTCCCACTATTTTAATTGCTAATTGTCTTAATCTGTGGTGTTTATATTTATTATTGGATGTTGTGCTGCTTTATTGTTTATCTTAATTTATTGCTGTTATTGTGAACTGTCCCAAGATGTCAGTGATGGGACGGTATACAAATGTTTTAAATAAATAAACAAATTAGACCAAGTGGCCACAACCAAAGCATGTTATCGCTCGGCCCCAACCCTCTTGATGGCACTGCAGGATTAATACTAATCTGTCTTCCAGAGCTGTTGTAAGGATGACATAAGTCAAGATGTGTGAAGTGGTCTGAATGCTCCAAAGAGTTCTACCAGCCTTCCCCAACCTGGTGCCTTTCAGGTGTTTTGGAGTACAGCTCCCAGATCTCCCAACAACTGGTTATGCTGGCCAGAGGAAGTAAGAGAGAATTTGGTATGATGGGGAAAATTGTGTTGCCATAATGCTGAGGTGGTCCCAAACAGCAAGGCTCCAAAGTGTTTCTACAACTCCCCTGAGTGCCCTACTTTTAACAATAACACGTAGGCGGCATGTTAAGACAGTCTGTCCTTTTCTATCTGGTTCCCTAACAGCCCTTAATAGGCTGCTTGCCTTTTTGACAGGTGCAGCACACCGATCTCATCTTTTCAGAGCATGATTCATAATGACACTCCGTTTGCTTTCCTGGGATGTGCCCTTCTTCACAGATCTGCTGATGAGTAAATCAGAAGCAGAGAAAACCAGGTGAGAAAAATAAGAGGCTAATTTGGTGGAAATGAAACCCGACTCCCTCCATAGTATGTCAGTTGCTACCTGGACTCCTTGTTCAGTCCCAGTTTCTCGCTCTCTGCCACCTTACTTATGCCATTGCTAGTTTGGAATAAAAGTTACATGAGGTTTAATGGTTTTTGAAAGGTTGGATCCCAGCACAAAATGTCAGGAGATTTTCAGACACTTTCTGTCCCTTACAGGGACCAAGGAAAGTAGGCATACAATTTTTAAATTAACCATGACAACTAGCAGGGAGCTGTATGTCGTAGAGAGAAATGTGGTTTGTTCATTCATAATGCATGTGCTAATACATAATTTCTGATGGAAGGAGGAACTGCTTAGAAGATGCAAGTTTGTGGTCCTGGACTCAGCTTGCAGATACACCACATTCCTATTGGGCAAATAACCGACATAATGAAGATAATGGCCCTGCTGATCACATTGGCTCTGTGACTTAAGTCAGACCAAACCCCTGAGGCAACGTGCTGTTCCACTTCCATGCATGTGATCTGCAAAAACTGCGTGAACCCAAATGTGGCCACTTCTTGAACATCAAAGTGCCTGCATTATTCTATATTTAATGGAATGTGTCCATCAAAAGAACAGTCAGCTGCATCTCTGAAGATGAATGGTGTCAGTTTACAGGCTGTGCAAAACTGATTTCCTTTCAACAATCCAACATCCAGATATTCTGCTGGTAGAGAACTATAGAAAGCAGAATGCTAGATTGCCTTGAGCCCAGTAAAGTTCTCCCTGAAAGAGTTTTTGGATCACAGCCTTGAATCAGCAATTATTGGTTGCAGGCCCAAAGCATGACATGGTCAAGATATTGATGGCACATGGCTCTACCTCTCCTTTCATCATATGTTTGGGGAGAAGTGGAAACAATCAGTGCCTGGAATTTGTTCAAGAAGGGGCAGGATAAACAAGCTGAAGAACAAGGTTGGTGATGGAGTCTGGTAATCTGTAAGAGGATTCCCACCCCTGATATATAGCCTGCCCTGGATGCAGGTATGTCCCTGGAAGCAACACTTCCCCTGGAAGGTGGCGGTTGCTGGCAGAGCGATGATTCATCCATTGCAGCCTGCCTTTAGGAGGACAATTCTGCAGTCAAGTAGACAACCTACCGTTCTTTTCAGGACAAATTACTGTCATGGTCTTTATGTGAGGCTGCCTTTAAAAACAGCCTTGAAACATCAGCTGGTCTGAAATGCAACAAACAGACTTCTCTCTGGCCCTGGATGACTGGAACATGGCCTTGCCTCTTCCAGAGACTGGTTGGACCAACAGATGTCTCCTTTTCTAGGCATGGGTCTTGGCCTTGCCTCCCTTGCCAGCTCATCTGCCCAAGTGACAGCTGTGCAACCCACCCAGCTCTACCAGCCCCATGGTAAAAACAGCTACAGCACGGTCAGCAAGTGGTATGAAGCTGCATTCTGGGGGATTTCTTTCCAGGCCAGAGAATGCAAGGTTCCTGCACCCCACTTTCAGTATTATCTTTACTTTCATTTCTATTTCTGTAAAAGAAGAACATAGAAATGTTATAATAATAATAATAATAATAATAATAATAATAATAATAATAATAATAATTTTTTAGAATCATTACTGGGTGAGCCTAGCAAGGTTTGCTAACTAACCAAGAAGCATTTTGCTAACTGGAAGTGTTTTATTAACAGTGCCAGAGGGACACGAGGTGGTGTTGTGGGCTAAACCGCTGAGCAACTGAACTTGCTGATCAGAAAACTGACAGTTCAAATCCATGTGGCAGGGGGATCCCCTGTTGCCTTGTCCCAGCTTCTACCCACCCAGCAGCTCGAAAGTGTGTAAAAGCACAAGTAGATAATTGGGTGCCCAACTCAGTGGGGAGTTAGTGACCTGTGTGGAAGTGTGAGGACCAGCCCTGTGTCCAGCCTACCGTGTCCAACCTGCAGCAGCAGTGGCTGCAGTGGAGAGAGACCAGAGGACGCCAGCACTCCAGTGGACCACGCTAGCTGCTTTGTGTGCAAAGCTGGCTCATCCCCCATGGTGCACCGTGGATAGGACGTGAGCACAAACTGAAGAGCAATCTTAGGCAGCCAAGCTACTCTGCATCAGCACAGAAGACTTTCTGGCTAATTGTACCAATACTATATGAAATAAACAAACAGTAGCAGCATTCTTCTTGCCTAGGCCTCATATATGCTCATATAATCACAAATCAGGCCTAAGTTATGAAAAGAGTGACTGAAATTATCGCCATGATGACTGCCCACTTTGCCAAAAATCGTAGACTTTTCATAGAATTGCCAAAGTCTGTACGTTTTGCTCTTCTGACATTTTATTGCTCTTTGACCCCAAGTTTTACAAAGTCAGCCCTTCCCTCCCTCCCTCTTTCTCTCCCTGCATATATACCAGTCAAGTGAGGGTAACACTTCATGCATCTGCTGACCTGGACTCCAGTCCACAAAACCTTTGCCATCATAAATCTATTAGTCTTTGAAGAACCACAAATCTCTGTGTTGTTTTTACAATTCATATATTTAAAGGAAAAGGCCATTTGATGTTGGCTTCCGCAGCTTTTAGAGCATGCTGTAACATTTATATAATTCATTGGCCAATCCCTTGAAATGGACTATGCAACACTATTGGAAGATATGCCTTCTTGCCCTACCAAATTAGCACTAAGTATGGATGCATTTTCTTCCAGCTTGAGCTTGATCTTTGGGCAACCTATGCAAATGCTCCATAGGCCAGTCCTCCTGTTTAACCAGCAATAGCCAAGCAGATACTCTTGAATTCCAGCTAGCACGACAACTGAATCCTGTTGAAGGTTGGCTCCTTCTTTAAAAGAAAGAAAGCAAAGTTAGCATGTTAACATTTTTACTATAAGACTTCCAAATGGAAGCTTTAACAAGAGTGCTAAAAGCCCAAGGTGCTCAATAAAAAGGCAATGCTACACTGGGACACATTAACATAGTGCTCATATCCAAGATATAGCCTTGCTTTTCTCAACCGTAGTTATGTCATTGCTGGAGAAACAGGCCCCAAGTTGGTGCACCACTTTTAAAAACTTAACAACAAACTGGAAGGAATGCAAGGGAACAGTAAATCTTTTATAAAGCAAGTCAAATGCAGAATGATTAAAGGAATGGAGCACACAAAGCCTAGAGAATGGGAAGAGGCTTCAGCTCTCTAAAGCAACTTGGAGAAGATAGAGGACAGTTTCTGCTTTGGCCTGACAACAGCAGAGATGGGCAATGCTTTTGTGCTGCCATCTATTAAGGGGCTTCTCAGTATTTAGACTTGTTGCCTGAAGTTGCTTGGAGAAGCTGAAACATATTCTATCTTTAATAAGCATTTAGAAGACATGATTCAGATGCAGATACTACTGCTTCTTTGCAGAGGACTGGATAATATTTATATTTCATACACACGCGCGCACACACACAGAGAGGCTTTATGCCCAAGCAGTTTGCAAACATTAAGCTGATGCAACACAATTGAATATGAATACAATATGCAACAAACAAGCAAACACCATTTCAATAGCAGCACAGCAGCACACTAAAGTCCGGGCTAGCCATTAATCAAGCAGAGCTGCCCTTCTCCAATGCAACAAGTAAATGCTAGTATTCAACCCCACCCCCCCGAACAGTCCACAGAAACATTGAGTAGAAACAGGCACAGGTGATACAGGCCCAGTTGTGAGTTGCACTTGCAAAGGGAGGGCCCTGCTGGACTCCACTAGTCTCCATCCCCTTACCCATTATCACTGTGGCTCTGCCTCCCTGAGTCTCAGGGTCTGCGCTCCAAGGGACCCATGTGCAACTTCGGATCCTGCTGCAGAGCATCCTGATAGATGCATCTAGGGATTTGTTTGGGAGTAGGAATCCACCAGGTTCCCTGGGGTCAGCTCCCTGGACTCCAATCCACTTTGCAGCAGCCCAGAGTCTAGTTCTGGGTGAGTGTTCTCATTATTCGCTGCTCCCAGCACCCCTTTCCCGTGCTGCCACCACATGATCAGTGCCAGACCAGGTCCGAGTCTTTGAGGTCCTTGGGCAAGACACTCTCAGTGGGCACCTCCTTCTCTGGGTCTCCCTTCTCAGACCCCACCACCTGTGCTTCATCCTGTTTCTCCTGATTGCTACTGCCTGCCTGCCTGCCTGATAAGCAGAGAGTGAGTCATGCAGTGGCATCCATGGACCCTCCTTCTCATCACTACCACCATTCTCTGGGCCAAAGTAAGAGGCAGATGAATCAGAAGATGAACAGGAGGAAGAAGTCTTGGGGCACTTGTTGACAGGCCCTTGTTGGGGTGTGGGCTGTCCATGGGTGCTCAAAACTTTGGATGACAACCACGTCCATAGCGAGCATTGATGCCACATCTCCGTACCTGAGCACATAGTTGGGGCTGAGCTAAGCACACTGTCTGGCCTTCATGGGACACCCCTGCACACTCTTTTTCTTTTCCTCTGTGAGAGTGTCTTTAGGTTGGGCCTGCAGTGGAAGAGAAGGGTTTATTTAAAGAAAAACTCATGCACCACCCCCACCGGTCTTTTTCCTCCACAAAATTCTACCTGGGGGTAGAAGGCAGGATTAAAAATACCATCCAAGGCAAACTAAACCCTCGACTATCTCCAAACATTCAGGTGTATCCAGGAGGCCCAATAAAGGCCAAAGCCTACCATGAGACCAAGTGGCATGCCTGCCCTGGCAGAAACGGTGCCTTTAAAGTCAGGAAACTGCCAACTAGGCTTTTGTCTTTTCTTGTTTTCTTAAGGTTACCACATTTGATGGTTAACTTGAGGCATTTTATCCAGGGGCAAAGTGGGGTTTAATATGAGAGAGGGTTTATTAATGTGCCAGAGAATCTGTTGACAAGGCTAGGACTTGGTCTTGGAATGAGGGGGCAAAAATCCCATTCTTATTTGTCATCACTTATTTGCTACAATTTGGTCCCACTTTTGAGTCTCCTAAAGCAACTAATGTCTCCTAAGCAATTCAAATTCATAAGAAAGTGAAAGAGAGAGAGAGAGAGAGAGAGAGAGAGAACATCCCATCAAGCTCCCAAAGTGAAATGACAAGACACACAAGGGAAGGGAGCTGTGAAAACCAGGATGAGGAAGGAGAGCAGATTGTCAAGGCTAGAACAAGTTACTGAGCTACCTGCAAACATTTCTATGCACGTCAGGCCAGGCTGACCTTCCCTTGCTGGTGTTCTTGCTTGAGGGCCATCTTAACGCATGGGCCTGATGGGCACTTGCCCATGGACCCCATACTAATCTGTGTATGTTAACCCTTGGAAAATTGGAAAACTTCCAAAATTAACAGTAGTTGTAGTTGCCGTAGGGGTCCCAGTACACTGCTTTGCCCGGGGTCCATAATACTGTTAAGATGGCCCTGTCTTGCTTTAACATGGCTGTTCCTTAGCCAGCACATCTGGAGCTTTCTAGGAGTCATATGAGCCAACCACATAGTACCTGTACCAGTTGAAGAGGATGACTCTAACCTTTGGCTGTAGCTGCATAAGTCTTCCACTGAGTGCTCCTCACTCACTGATCTGCCCCTCACTTTCACACTTTATAGTGGTCTGATACATCTGATAGGATGAATAACCTATGGAATGCGCTCCCCAGAGAGGTCCGCCTGGCGCAGTCGTTTTTTGTTTTTCGGCGGCAGGCAAAGACCTTTTCATTTAAGCAACATTTTAAATGTTAATACTACTGAATTTTATTTGGCCAGGGCGGCTTATTTTATATTGTGTGTTTTAAATTATTATGATTATTTTATATGTATATTTTAACTTATTGGTTTTATTTATTGTTGTAAGCCGCCCCGAGTCTTCGGCGAATGGGGCGGCATAAAAATGTTCTAATAAATAAATAAATAAATAAATAAATAAATAACCTAAACCTTTATGGAAGAAATACATCCCCACTTCTGTTAACACCAAAGCCCCAGAAACCAAATGGGTGCTTTAGGCTGGCCTAATTTACAAGCTGTTGTATAGGTGATTTGGATAATCTATGTCATGTAAGAGCTCAGATCCTTTGGGCAGTGGTGGGGAGAATCAAGCTAGGTGGCCTTGATCAAAGGGGAGTTCAGAGCACTCAGAAATTCCAGTGACTAAGGGAGCAATTCACATCTCAGCCATATCAGGACCAAAGACCCAAGGATGCCGGAGAGGGCAGGGCCAAATCATTTACTGCAGGCAGCTGGAGATGGAATGGGGGGGGGGATTGGGAGATTGGCCATCACCCCACTGGTCAGCTGTTAGAATGGGGGGGGCATAAAGGGTTGAGGGTTAGAACAAGAGGAGGTCTTTCTTCCTCTCTTGGCGATGCTGCCTGCCTGTAACAAAGACGAGACCGGTTGCTTCCCTGCCAGCGGTTGCTATGGACCTGAAGGTAGTTTGCACAAATAGAGTCTTGCCGTGCTAGCTAGCCTATTTTCTTGTCCTGTCAGTGCAACAAGATTCAACGTTCTTGGGGGAATTGGGGTCAGCTTTGTCTTGTGTTTTTGGTGGCTGCTATCTACCATCCCTCATCCTTCCCTTCTTTACCTGTTTTAATCCTACTTCTTTTATTCTTCCCTCCACCCCTTTATTTTATTACCTCAACAAACAGAGTTTTATCCCCTAAACTGAGTGACCCATGTGCTAATTTCTGTGCTTTGGCTGGATGTGGGGCCAGTGAGGGCTTAAGTCTTTTCCCACCAGGGCTGTGGGAACGGGGTGTGGGTGGGGGTTCCCTTGGCAGATTATTACAATCTGTATGAAGTACTTTGATGACTCAGGGTGCTCTATGAATATCAAGTATTTCAAGCTACTATTACTATTATCACCTTCATCTCTGCAGGTGATACCAGTGCTGCACAATGGGCTATCCAGACGTCCACAGTTTCGGTTTTCTTCTTAAACTGAAAAAGAAACCCAGTGTCTCACCCAGCAACCCACCGCAGTTTGGGCTAGTTCTTATTTCATTTGGTCCTTTTTATCTCAACACATCACTTTCTTTTATCATGTATTTTATTAAATTCAGTGTCTGCCTCTTATGAGAAAAGATAATTACGAAAAGGGAAGGTCGCTTGTTCTCTTTGTTTTGATATTAAGGCTCTTCCAGGGTGTTTTATTAGCTTCTGACTCACCAAGTACTCAGAAAGGAACAGGAAGTCCACTCACTGCCCTTCTAAGAAACCACCCTGGCTTCTTCTTAAATGCTCTTCAAAATATCAGAACCCCCCACCAAGGATTTCCTGTGCATTGTTAAAAGATGGCTCCTGTCCTACCTTCTCTGACTTCCAGTTCATTTGCAGACCCAATTCAGTGTGACTTTTGCATATAAAGACCTTTATACCATATAAAGATGGAAGGATGTCTTTTCCATATCCATGTCCCAGTACATTAACTGAAGTCCTTCTTCATATGTACCCTGCACCTGAAGTATGGAGGCGAGTAACAAGAGAGATGCTTTGGTGGTGGCCCCACAGCTGTAGAACACCTCCTCTGAAGAGACCTGCCTGGCACCTACTGTAACATCATGTGGGCATCAGGCACAGGTTGTTCTGTCCCCCAAGGCTTCTAACCCCATTGCTCCCCCAGTGCCTCCTGCTGCTGCCCCAGAGAAACAGCAGAAGCAGCAGCCATGTGGCCTGCCTGCAAGGGCCTTGTGTCTGACCACTTCAAGCAGCTGTTTCAGCCCCCCCACCCCACCCCACCCCACCCCACGGTACAGCTTGGTCATTTTTGATCTTGGACTTCATTGCCTCTGGGGAGAAGGGAAGGATGCTTTAAATGGCCCTTTGTGTTTCTTCATTTGAGGTGTACCATCTGTCTTCTCCCTACCATCACTAAATGCTTCACAGCTGCTACTACATTCCTGTCATGTTAGAACAACACATTTGCCAATCCTGTTTTTTTTTTTTTTAAGTGTCCTTTTAAACTCATCTAATCCTTAGCATCACAGGAGTAAAATGAAATTTAACTATCACCAGCCACTCTCTGGTATTCGCAACCCCCCCCCCCCCGCCCAAACACACACAGGTTGTGGGGTCTAGACTTTGACCACAAGGACCGGACCTGGCAGCAGCCAAGGACTACACCTTTGCCCCATCCTTGTAATCCTTGTCTATTTTATTGTATTGTATTTTAAATACCTTGTAAGCCAACTTGAGAACTTTAGGTGAGGTATAATTGCTCATGTATCAATAAGACCTCCTTCATGGATCACTGCCTTGTCGTGGCGAAGAGGCTTGCGTAGCTCAATGAAGCTATGAGCTATGCCGTGCAGGGCCACCCAAGAACTAGCTTGTAGTTCTCTCCTGGCCAGCAGGGCAGGAGCAAGACTAGATCTCTTATAAAGTGATTGGGTCTTAATTGCCCATCATGACTAATTTCCTCCCAGTATTTGGGTTGCAGTAGTGATCATTCACAACAATATATGGTTGCTGGGAAAAGCCATTTCTCCTTCAGCTACAGTAAGGATTGCAGCTAAACTCTGAAAGAATACAGAGGGGTTAGTCTTGTTTTATTTTATTTTATTTTATTTTATTTATTTCTGTTCTGCCCAGTAATTGAAGCTGTCGTTGTCCAATGCTTATCAAATTCCTGGCACTTTAAACCCTGTGAGTGAGCTCTGGGTCCATCACACCTTTGCTATAATATGTAATTATTTAATAATAAAAATTGCTTTCTTACTGACTGCTTTGCAAGATGATCTTTCTCAGCAGATATAATCCAAGGAAGGGAACAGGAATCAGAGCCCAGAAACTAACCTTGACATGCAGTTCAAATTTAAGCCACCATTCAAGGCTTCTCCACATGAGGCATTTATCTGCTTGCTTTACCCAGGCTGCTGCTTCTGTTTTCTTTGCAGGAGGAAAAACACGCTTTTATGTGAGCTTTTCCCCCTCATGGGTTTTCTCCTCTGCCTTTCTGTGTGTTCCCATAGACTCCATTTCACTGCACAAAATGACACTGTGGCATACAGCAGCATTTGGACTGAGCAAGTGTTCTGCAGCTAATAATGGTCCCTTTCAGGAAGAGACTGCATTATCTTAAAAAAAGGCTGCAAAATGGCTAGA